AAAGGTTTGATTTATCCACAGGTGATTTGGAGTATAATCATTGGTCATGCCAGTGTCATACAAGAGTGTCTGCAACCTTTACTAATTATGTAAGATACCTATGTGGTTATCACAAATATCTCGCTGTATTGTGTTGATGCTTCTGAAATAAATATTTATTTGCAAGTTTTTCTTTCAAAACAACTAAAAGTCACAAGGGCACATTGTTAAATACAGAGCACCTTTCCTTCAAATTATTGATTCAGCTGCCCCTAATATTCCATTATTACCACTCCAATGACTTGACTACCTAGTATGGAAATAATAATGAGGAAATTGTGTGGAATTATTCAGAACAGGAAACACTATATTTCTATTCCTATGTTATTCATAAACTGTTCCTGGTAGGTGTCCCAAAATTACCTTGTCAATTTGTGGCCTCCCAGTTTAATTTCAAGTAGTATTTCATAGTAATGTTTACTATACCATTAAAAATCTTTTCTGTCTCTATTAATTTGTCTTCAAGAGCATTTAGCCACATGTAAGTGGAAAATTAATTTGGATTACATACTGCATGGGGCAACTGTAAGGGGGGTGGGATTGGATACTGGTAACCAATGGAAGTACCTTCCAACACCAATGGGCAACTTCATTGAGTTCATCAGCTGCCCTCAGCTAAACTCCAGAGAATACAGGCACAGTCCCCACTTGTCAAAGGAAAGTCGCACCATCTTTGGAATCAATCTAGTGAACTGCCTTCCTATTCATATTCACATACATCCTTGCATTTTCCCTACTACTGACATCAGGCTAACAGTTTTGTAATTCCCTGTTTTCTTCCTCCCTCTTTTCTTCAACAGTGATGTTTTATTTGCAATCTTCCATTTTGCAGCTATCATTGCTGAATTAGTAGAGTTTTGAAAGATGATCAACAGTGCATCCATATCTCTCTGGCTATCTCTTTTCAACATTCCTGTGTGAATATCATCATGCTGCAGGGATTTGTCATCTTTCAGTCCCACAATTTTTCCAATAGTATATTTTTATCATGACTAAATTCTTCCAGTTCCTCACTACCACTGAAAACTTGGATCTTGGTTATTTCAGGAAGACTTTTAGTATCTTCCTCTGTGAAGACAACCAAAGTATATATTTAGCTTCTCTGCCATTTTCGTGATATTTCACATCATGAATTCTCCTGTTTCTGCCTAGAATAGAATGAAACTTGCCTTTGCTGATCTTTTCCTTTTTGTATATATGTATAGAAGCTTTTACAATTCATGTTTATGCTTCTTTCTGGTTTACATTCATATTCCGTTCTGTGTCACTTTATGAGTTTGTGTTATGTTTTGTTTTCCATTTTATAAATTTCAACCTTGCAATGCCCTGCACTATGGTTTTGTTGTTTATTTATTGTTTCTCAATTCTGAAAAGTTTTTAAGAACTGTTTGAAGCTAATCATAGACCAGCAGGGAAAAAAAGTAAAATGTAGTAAGATTTCTAGCTAGCATTTTAGTAACTGAACACTAGAAGTAACTTTTATGTGACATTTAATTTTCAATATTCTGATTTAGTCACATGGGAATACAGAATTAAGTAAAATTGAAGAAAGTCACATGTCAAAGCTTTTCATCTTGCATTCATCATATACAGGAATGACAAATTTTAAAGCAAGCAGAACTTATACAGTATGTGAAAAGGATGCTGATCGAGTCCTTCAGCATGGATCTTGACTCCTAATCTTGTTTCTCATTCAGAAAACCATAACGTGCAAACTGTGATTAAGAATAGCATTCCCACTATTCTTTTTCGTTTCTGTGGACCTCTGAGTAATGACACATGAGCAACTTCTGAAAACACTATGAATGGCATCGGCATGCAGATCACTGTACACAAATCCTTGGAGCGCAGACAGCTTAGAGGGAACATTGACTGAGAACATCAATAGTTAAATAATGTTTAATTTAATTGTAGTGTATCCTAAAAGCTGAAGTTGATTGTGTTTCAGGTTGACAATGCAAGCACTGGGGCAGAAGCTGAATGATTACTGGAAGGAAAAGAAAACTAAGAAAAACCAGGAGGAAGCAGATAGTACAGACATGGTAGAAGAACAGCGGTGAGACGTTATTAACTGCACTTCTGTTTGAAGCTTACTTTGATTAAATGTTCGACTACTTACATCCTACCAGTATGCCATCCAAACCTGTGTGATTCCTCACCACCCAACTCGTAGAAATAACAGCACTGTCATTTGATACATTTCAGTCACCAATCTTTATAATGGTAAATGTTTCAACTGGTGGATTCCAAATATTTTTAGAGTTTCTGTAGGCTAAATTATTTACAAGATTTATGAATGTCTGACTTACGAACATTCGCACTTATGAAAGTGATCTCATACAGTGTGTTATTTTAAAGACCCAGCATGCGAACATTTCCCATACTTATGAACAATTCCTTTACACTGTCCTGGATTGTGTTCCAACATGTATGCAGATTGACTTGTGAAAGGACTCAGAAACAGAACCCATTCCCAACCCGGGGACTGCCTGTACAAGGGTATCATATAATCCAAACTAGAAGTTTTTTTCATGGTTTTATGGCTGAGATTTTTTACTCTTAAGTGATTTCACAGACTGTTGGCCTATGAAGTGCATCAAAAAATGTGTCATCTCAGCTCAGGACAATCTCAGTTCTGAAAAGTTTTTTTTTTTACATCTATCTGTTTGAAGCTAATCATAGACCAACAGAAAAACAAATTAAGGATGCAGTAAGATTTGTGATTTCTAGCTGGCATTTTAGTAATTGAACACTAGAAATAACTTTTCTTTGTTATTTACTTTGTGATTTCCTGCCATTAATCATTTGGGAATACAGAACTTGAGTTTTTTTTAAGTTCACTTGTGGGACATGGGTATTGCTGACTGGTCAACATTTATTGCATGGCCTTTGTTGCCCATGAGAAGGTGGTGGTGAGCTGCCTTCTTGAACCTCTGAGGTCTATGTCCAGGTAATAGACCCACATTGCCATTAGGGAGGGAATTCAGATGAATGTGTGGATGGAAAGATGGTGCAGGAGGGAGAATTTTAGATTTTTGGGACACTGGGACTGGCTGTGCAGGAGATGGCACCTGCACAAGCTGGAGAAGTTACGTTGGAACAGAGCTGGGACTGAGTTCTTTGCTGGAATTAGATAATTAGGGTATTGCTAATAGAAAATGTTTTGAACAGATTTTGGTAATCTTTAACATGTTATTAGGCACCAGCAGGCAGAAATCAGCGTAACTAAACTTGCTGCGTCAATTTATTTTTAATATGCATCATCAGATACTAACTACACTGCAAGAAATTATCAGTAAGCCATTGCATTGAGGATTGTTGAAATAAAAGATTTGACTATGGAAGCTTCTTCCATTCACTCTAATGTAGTCACAGCTGCTTCTGGAACATATTGGATAGTGATTTTTAATCCTGTTTATATTTAGTATTTGAAAATTATGTTTAAGAATAATTTGAAAAAGCACATTTATTTTATATTTGTGTTGCTTTCCCAATCAGAACTGTCCCTGATCAAGCTTGGGTTCAATGTGAGACATGCATGAAATGGCGGAAGTTACCACCAGAAATTGACCCAGAGTCGCTACCAGAAAACTGGTACTGTAACATGAATCCTGACCCCAAGTTCAGGTAAGAAGGTATGAGGATGTGTAATCACAAGTGGACATGAGTCTCTTGCACCTAATTAGTAAAATGATTTTTTATGAATAAATGGGAGGAGATGAAATCATAGAATAATCCTTTAGCTTTCATTAAAGTCAGAGATTGATTTTTACTTACAGAAACTAGCACTCATTCGATATTTGCACCAGTGCTCTGGTGATGCCATGCAAGTGCCAACTTCTAGGTGGTTGATGCTCCTACCTGGTTCAGGCATTAGGCCTGGTTTAATATGTAAATTGGAGTTCTATGATATACATTGGACCCAGATTGCCATTGCGAGACAGAATTGATCCAACTATTTTAGTGTTGATACAGTCAGAAAGGTGCTAAAAATTTCCATTTTAAAAGGACTTTTCAATGCCAAAATATATGGAATCACCCTGGGGTCTTCCTCCACGGTGGTTGTGACCACCCCTCCACTGTCAGGCTTGAAGCCAGCAGGTCACCCATAATTGTACTAATCCGAAGATGGTAAACTGCTTCAGGAGTCTAGTATCAAAATGACTCCAAGCTCTTCACTGTTTGAATGGGAGACAATTGGTTATAGCCTTGGTACTCTAACTAAAAGTTAAAAGAATTGTTATGGTGCAGAAGGACAACATTTAGCCCATTGTGTCTGCACCACCTCTTTAAGCATTTTGACGTAGTGCCAAACTCCTGCTTTTTCCTTATAATCCTGTACCTTGGATGATTATTTAAATAGAAACAATGCCTTCTTGAAAGCCTAATTTGAATCTTACAACGCATCCCGAGGCAATGCATTCTAAACCTAGGCCACTCACTATGTGAAATGTA